TTCGAATAAATATACAATCTAAACTAGATATTATATTTGAGTGAAAATTGTAGCTATTACGTTACGGAACTATATACAGTGTAGTAGTGTACACTGATTATAACTATGTAATTAATTTATTTATGTAACATGTACGTTTTATTATTTACTACCTACTATATAATATTTCTATGAATTATAAAACTACACAGTTAAGGTACATTTATTAAATATATCTCATGTGAGTCAATTTTAAACCATTGTTTGGATAGAATATTGAGAATAATGACTTAAGTAGTTAAATAACTTCAAGCTAATGAGTAAAATCTATATAATATATAAAGTAAAGTAATCGTAATCGAATATACAATATACGTATATACCTTATACTTTATACCTTGTACATTGATGATTTATTGATCTTTTTTTTTTATCAATGACGAAAGACGTTAAGCCAAATTAACTTTCAATACAATAATGGATACACCTGGATTTTTTGTAATGAATATATTATATACATAATATGCATAATATATGATTAGAAATTAATTGCGTAATGTAACATTGTTTACAAGTGAGACATAAAAATAAATCAAATATAGTAGGTATTTACCACAGTAAACTCTACTTAATATAATAATTAACATTACGTATAGTACCGACGTGTATAATTATATTATAAATACAATAAGAATAATAAAAATGATAAAACATGGCGTCTAATTTAACGAAAAAATTACTGTTTAAATTTTAATTGTTCGATTAACAGTTGTAGTTATTTTATTACTTTTTAGTAAAATTATTTAAAAGTGAATATTAATCATATAATAATAAGTCGTTTAAGTTTATTAATAACTAATAAAACACAATATTTAATAATATCGTAAGTTATAACGGTATGCCGTATGGTAAAGAATCATATTTTTTTATCTCTCTTTCTCTCTCTCTCTCTCTTTCAGAGAAATTAATACATTTGCTATTATTAGGACGATAAATTAAAGTTGATAAAACGATTTGTTACATACGCATAACTAAATATTATAATATAATATTATCATGAATTAAGGTGAAATGTTTAAATGTTTTTCTACTAGACGCATTCTATATTATAAATTATAATAACTTTATTAATTTGTATATTAAAGTATATAATATAATTACAATTAATTTTAAGAAATATGTATTACTGGATTGTTGAGATCACATACTAATCAATTAATTTTCACGGTCCAAGGCAGGTTCAACATTTTCCGATTGAGAGCACCGCGGTCCAGCTTGGTGTCCTGCCCCGCTTAGAATATCTACCCCACACACAGGATAGGATCTAGGGGGAGGGGTTTAGGAGGTCCGCTGACTTACATTTAATATTTGCTGATCAAATTTGCCTTTTTTCAGATCTTGGGTAGTTGGACACTTTGACACTCGAATAAACACACATACAATATACATAAATTCATTTTTTTTGTTTTATATATACCTAGAACACAAGTATAGATTTCTAATTTGGTTTTAATAAGTGGCCCCTTGAAATTTCCTGACCCACAGTTTCCTAACTCTGGATCCACCCCTGCCCACACCACAGTTTGAACCACAATCTGACTTGGAGGTCCAAACACGATAGTGGTGACCACCACCTTTAAACACAAGTATCATAAGTTGCTTCAGTTTATTATCACCTACTATACCTATATAATATATATTATATATGTGTACTGTGTATGGGCAGTTTATTTATAAAAATAGATGTTATACCTAAGATGTAAACTGTAAGTATAACCTTATACGTATTAATACCTTATTGGACTCTACTTACTCTGACATCTTGAATATTTTGTCTTTAATATTATATAATTATATAATGTGTAACTACAGATTTAAATCCACTAATAACAGTGCAAAAAATTTTAAATCACGATACGACTTCAGATTCTTATCTTCGAATTTTGATCTCTTACAGGTAGTTTTATGTCGTCTACTCGCCTTTATATTTTCAAAGTAATCTAGTGTGGACGGTGGCATGTAACGAAAAGATATTAAATTCGGACATTAAAAAAAAACAAAATAATGATAATAATGACAATAACTACAGAATTATTAATATTATTATTTTTATTTACTATTTGTTTTTTGTGAAATATTTTAGTTACCACAGTATAAAAGGAACAAACCCGATGGACAATCGCGGTTGGTGGTATTCGATGATAAATATTAATTTTAAAAAACCCGGGTTGCAACCAAGCTACCGTAAAATAAATGTACCTACCTATACCAAAAATATTAAATAAATATATTTCGAGCTATTTCATATTTATCGAACGGTTTTCGATAATAAAGTATAATTCGTATAAAAATGCGTCCATTTTCCCAGGGGACTTGAATATATATATATATTTGTATTTGAAATTAAATAATATTATAGTTGGTTAGTTTGAGTAAATATACATATATATTATACGGTCGCTGTCTCGCGTTGATTTAAAATGCAATTTGTGAAAACCGTCATATCGCGGTACGGCAAACCGAAACTTGACGTAATAATAAACATTTTAATATTTTATAATAATTATGCGCATTCAGTGGTTTCAAGTTGAAAAATGTAACTGCGAACAAATATCAGGCCGATCACGTCTGCAGACGTATTATAATAATAATTTAATATCACCTTTTATGTTCGGAGTCAATTAAAAGCGACTGACCCAAAAAACGATAATTTTCATTACACGTTTGAACAATAGTCGCGCGCACGCGCTCACCTGATGTGCATACCTCCGCAGTTACCAGCTACAACAACTATACGTGATTCAAACAAACACAGTGCGTACACAGTGGTAATTATAATAATTGTTGTGCAACAAAGTCCGTTTCCTGGACAAAAAATTAAAAAAACAAATAGAAAAAAAAAAAACCAGAGTACGTTCACGGATCGTACATGGTAGGTATATGTGTATATACAAGCGTGTGTACCAATGGGTACATGCACGGGTAGTGGAAATGCATAAATCTAATTATTAAATATTGTACTCCCGCGTCCGTTACGTTAGGTATATTATTTATAGGTCACGCGGGATTTCAGTGAGAAGTACACAACAGGGTGTGGTTCAAGGCGATCCGCAGCGATTATGCCTCCGTTGTTTTATACCATTCGAATGTAGGTATAATAATATCTGTTGTCTCTTGTCATAATTTACGAATTCGTGCGCGCACCGTGGACGGTGGACACCGTAGGTTACCTTCGCGCGTGGTGGGTCGTAGGTACCTATAATAGCTAATATACCACAACAGTATACACATTATATTATATACGTGTATACATATGCGTGACACAACCACCTCAACCGTAGTATCGGTAACCGGCCGGGTAAACAAGAACAACGAAGGTATATATGCGAGTGGGTACTATAATATAATATTATAATTTATAGCTGCACGCGGACCACACGACATTCCGGGTCCGTCCAAGGGTACGTTTTGCGAAAAACTTGGTATAATTATTATTATTTGTCTAGCGGCAACGATGGTGATATTGTGTCGAAAAACGACAAAAAATTGGAATAACGAAATTGTTTTTCATAGGTGTAATACTGCGTGAAGATCAGAAAAGGGTGCGACGATGTTTTAAAAAGTGAATGTACTATAACATTGTATGTAGTGTTGTACCTTTGTACACGTTATGGCAATGAATTTTTAGCCGTCGTGTGCAGTCTTGACTCTGGATCGCCTGTTTCTAACCTTATACGATTGCAGTGCGCGTATTCGTATGGTATGAAACAATAATCAATAATTAATCGGTTTAATGTTTATTATTGTATATACTTATATTACACTCACAACTATACGTGCAATATATATTGTTTAGTACCACATTTCCACATTTCCAATACGCACTGACTCCGCCGCCATCCCGCGGTATTGGCCAACCAGCTGTGGATTCGATGGTAATGATAATATCGTTCTATTACAGGTCCCACCGCGGCCGTGGGATTGTGATTATCATTATTGCAATAACGATTTATAATATGCAAATGATATTCTATTTATAGTTATTGAGATATTTCGGTTTTCCTTGCTATTACAATATTATTATTTCCAATAATAATTATGCAATTAGCCCGCGATGATAAAAACAACAAGTTACCTGCTATTATCGTACACTTAAAATCTTGGGCGTATGCGGGAAATGGGTAATTTTGCGTTTTATATTGGCCGACTGATTTTGATTGCAACAGCAGACGATCTCGCAGGATAAATCATAGAACTTTAGTGTTTTGAAATAAAATAGCCACTTTGTTTTTTTTTAGTAATGCATTATAATATTGTACATGCATTTATTTTTTGTAAAAGTTACAATACTACTTAATATATCATGTACTTAATCCATACTTAAATTGAACACCTACTTAATTTATATTTTTTGGTAACTAGTTCACGCCGTGAAAGTTGAATTTTGTTTTAAAATATATTTTGAATAAATATGTTAAATAAATAATAAATATTATAATAAATCAATTAGGTAATGCTAAAATATTCAGCACGTGCCTTATATTTATATCATTTACAAGGATACACCTAAACAAAACATTAAATATTTTATTATGTGGCATGTGTGTAATATCTACAGAGGGCGTCTCCCACTTGTCTTCTATACCTTTCCTTCTCACCAAAGTTTAACGACTTACATTACTAACATAGTAACATACTTAATGCGAATTGACACTTCAACCTTTAATTTATTTAGATTTTACATAAATCAGTTCTACTAAATATGAGATATAGCAGATTTTTAAAAAATACCAAAAGAAAATTAAAACTATTCGAGTTTGGCGAAAAAATATTATACATAAATCATAACAGTTATGCAGATATTTTAACACGGCAATGACTGCTTATAATTGAAGAATATGTTATTTTTTACAGATACAAACGCACGGAGATACTCAGTGTGCAGTGGAATGTTTTACCGGAACATTAAAAACTGAATGTATTGTGGCTGCAGTCGTTCGGTATAGCTGCTGTTATCTGCATTATTTTCCACACTGGACGACGAGGGGCTGCAAGCGGACGTTGGTGCCCAGACACCCGACCGCACCGGAAATGTAGTCCGGGAAGTTGCTCTCGAGTATCCAGAGGACGCCGCCTTGGTTGTCGGGCGCCACGTGCGTGGCCAACCGGCCGCAGTCGTCGGCCTTCCGGACCAGCGCGAACCTGTCGGAGCCGAACGAAGTGCCGTCGTCGGGCCGGTCCGTGTCCCAAGCGTACACATCGCCCTGGCCCCGGTACCGGAAGTAAACGGTGGTCCGACCGTCCGTGCCCAGAACGACCATCTTTTCGGGCTTCGGGCCCAGGTCGACGACGGTGCCCTCCGAGCACCCCTGCCGGAGGTTGCACGCGTCTATCTTGTACATCCGGTTGCTAGTCAGGTACGTCAGGTACAGGGCGCCACCACCCGCAGTGAGACCCCTCGCCAGAGCGATGTAAAGCACGTCCCGTCGACCGGTGCAGTCGTGAGTGATCGCCTTCGGCAACACCACCCGATAGCCGCGGTCCGCTGCCACCTCCCACACGATCACCGCCCGCGTGGCTGCGTCCGACACGTACACAAACACCCTCCCGTCATCTCCGTAGTCGGCCGTGATGTAGTTTAGCCGGCTGGCTGAGCACACCAGCCCCGACAAGTCGATCTGCTTGACTACCTGTGCTCATATAATCCAAACGAAACAAACATAATAATATTATATACACCCATATGGCCACGTGGGAATATCGCGTGGGCGAGGTTTGAGGGGACTAAAGCATCCCCAAAACTTTTAGAGGGTGTCTTAATCCCCTTAAAATATACGATGGTTATTTATCTATCCAATTTTGACTACCGACGTATTTTCAGATATTGTTGATTATAAAGTTAATAGTTAAAAGGGACAAATACGTAGAAACAATTTATTATCAAATTTGCGTTCAGTAAACCTAACCAATTTTGTGTTCTTACTTGTTGTTTGTTACCTACACCTTTAATATTAGACTAAATTGATATATAATCAAATAATAAGGTATAAAAACATTATCTGGATTGTATGTTTTACATTTTTTTATGATATTATAATTTTTAAGCGAGTTGTCTGTAAGTATGTAAAATATTAAATATTACAATTTAAAAATCCATTCTATAACTCACTTCAAAATAAAAATACTGTAAAAATCTAACTTTCAAACACTGCTAAATTTCGTACCTTGAAGTTTAACAATAGGTTAATTCACTATAATATATTAAAGCTAACAATATTTTCAAACATAAAAATTAAAATTTGTAAATTAATTGATTACATCAAAAATTTTAATAACGTCACATCTACATCACAAGACCTCATGCATCCATGATCATCATACACCTACCCATTCAAAAAAAAAATTGGTTTGGGGGTTTACTATATTTTATTACCAATATTCGTATTTGACAGTCGAAATCGGTTACACTGATTCAACGTCCGTTTGAATTTGGCTTTAGAGTTTTGAAACAAAATTCAGCACACTTCAGATAAAAGAGCCTTTGGCGTTTTTCTTTCTTCTTTTAATACTTATTACTATTTATACAGTCATTCACGGTTTGTAAAAAACTTTCACGCCAATTTCTTTTTGTTGTTTTCGTCGACATTATAAAATAAGATTTATATATTCCCTTTTTATCGAACCACGTAGGTATTGGCTGTCGTCTATCTATATTTCCAATCACCTGTAATTCCGCAACTCACGATTCAATATTATAACCTCGGGTGTTTCTTTTTTTTGTTCTTTCTTTGTACATGAGCGCATACCGGCTATTTCAGATATATCATTATTTTATAATCGAAAAAAAATACGATGATGACAAATTCGACGACCCTATAATGGTTTTATAATAATATTGGGTATAATAGTGTACTACTGTCTACTTGTCAGTTTTCGTTTTATCATCATGAAACGACACAATACACGATAATATCAAATTCAGAGTGTAAAACTGGTTCATTTTTACCGGAATTCAGCTTACGGGGTTTACTGTGCTTAAATATTGTCGGGTTTTAGTTTACAAGTAGAAACCTGCTTTTCCCATTATTCGGTTTTTGGATTAACCTCGGATTTCAAACCCGGTTTTAAACCTAATGCAACTCCCTGTATATATTAAATAAATTATCTTAAATAAGATTTATGATTTTTTTTTTTTAAAAATGAAACCATATGAAAGTAGGTATTTGTATTATGTACTACTGACTACTGTTCTATACTATATTTTTATATTTCGTTTCAACTACTAAACCCGTACCTATGATCCTGTGATCTATAACTGTATCAAGACACAATTAAATACTTTCAATGAATACAACATATTGAATGCGTTATGGGAATAATCGATTGTAAAGTAAACACAAAATAATAGTACCACTACACAATTTATTGCAACGACGACTGTACATTACAATATTACCATTTACCGCCCACAGCGGATTCCAGTTGCATATTATTTCATGAACCACAGATATCAGAATATTATAATATTGTATGCGTGGTATAGTTATGTTACACATATAACAATATAGTACCTACCTACCAGACTATAGTACACATAACCTAACTATGACGCGTACTATTGTACTGTATAATATATTATACTGTCTTGATATTAACAAAACAGTTCGAAATAACTTTCACTCAAATACAACTCTCAAATTAATTGATCGACAATAATAAATGCTGAGTTATTTTGTTGATTGGCATCTGCGCCAGGATTTAGAGTATCCGACACTGTCGAATACTCACTCATCTTCATTCAACGCGATAAATTAGTAATAGTAGGTAATCGTTTGGCAATATTATTATTGAGAAAACTTTTGGCCAAAGAGCGGGACTCGTGATTTATGTCTTTCGGTGCCTGCAGAGAGCCGTTTGAATTATATTACTCACTATTTCTACGGGAGAAAATGACGCCAAAAATATAGTATTTTACGTGACTGAAGAAATGCAACTGCAGAGCAACCGTTTCCAGGAAAGAAAACAATTATTAATAACCGAAATTTAATTTTTATCAAACACTCACATACATGTACCTACATCATTTGATGAGAACAAAAAATATATTATAATGTTTGATGATGTATATTTATAGTAACTACCTACGCGTAACAAACGAAAAATAGTTTAAGAAACTGCTCCAATTTCTCAACGCCGCAACACATAATATCGGTTTACTTCTCACAAATTTTTAAAATTAATTAGGTCTTTGTAGTTACACAAAAAACCTTAAACTTCTTCGAAAAACATTACGACATCGGTCGGTTGCAGCCGATTCTTTATAATATGTTATAATAATATGCATATTGTTTAAACAAGTTAAATTAAATTTATAAAGAAAGTACCTACATAATAAATGATAATATTATAACTTATTAGACGTATAAAGAGTAGATAGTTAGTACTATATAGTATAGTTAATACCTAACTAAAAAAATATCCTGTCATCATCATTGTATAATATAGAACGTTTAGTGAAAATCACAAGTTACATTGTATACATTATCACAGGTACCTCTATTAAAATATTATAAAACCATAGGTAGGTACACAGTTTATCGTCGAATTTAATTAATCGCATATTTCGAACGAAAATGTTCATACGTAATTTTACTCGACATATTATTAGATCATACAGATTTTTCTGTTATTTTTATTATTATTATATTATTACTATTATATCACGGGGAGTATTATTTTATAATAATAATATTATTAAAATATATAGATCATGTTGTATTGTGTTATTATTATTATTAATACTTATAGTTAATTACCGTGACAAAATAACGAAATACGTAGAGGCGCGTCGTGACGCGACCTCGAACACACGCAAGCATAATATAATAATATTATTATCACGATAGGTACATATTATTATTATAAATGAGCCATGATGGAAACGAGCTCATTGATGTGCGCAAAGTGTGAACAGTGACCAGTGTAAACGATACTACTATCTTATTGATTTTTAGGCCTGTTGATTCGTTGAAAGCTGAAATGGTCGTCGCTAAAAAGTGTATAGTCCAAACATATACAGTCGGTACTTCAAAAGAATTAACAGCAAATGACTTAAAACAGAAAAATGTTTACCCAAACTTATTTAATTTGTATAAAGTAGCTCTAACATAACCAATTAGTTCCTCCACGTGCGAGAGAAGCTACTCTGCCATGCGCCGGATAAAAACATGGTTACGATTTACGAACGTCTATGTACAAAAGATAAATTTACTCAGGTGTATTTTGTATATAGAAAAAAGCGATACCAAAAATATTAATAAAGATATCATTCTTAAGCAATTCGCCGAGGAACATAAATATATCATGTTAAATTAATATAAAGATGATGCTATTACCTATAAATAATTAAATTGAATTTTGTATGGTTTTATTAAATAAATTATTATTATATAATATATACCTACGTGTTTTGAAATCATAAAAGTATGTTGATGTAGATGGTGAGGGGGAGGACAAAGCTAGCGTCAGGCGTAGTCGTGGGCTTGTTCTAACGGTCTATGGTTATAACTTTTGAATTTTAATCTTAGCCTTAATCTGGCTTGCTGGATGGGGCGCATCTAGCAAGCCAAATTTACGCCTATGCTGCAGATGCCCAGAAATATTATATTAGTGCTAATTATTTTGGTCGGAAACGAGGATCCTTCGCCCTCGCCCCGGGCGCCAATGATTTTTATTTAAAAATAAAATTTAAAAGTAAAAGAATACATTTTTGAAAAAATACATATTGTCAAATAATTAATTATCGGGAAAAATAATATTATCGATATTCGTCATTCTGAAACTACACTTCAATTATGTATTAATATTGTTATGACTACAAGAGTTTAAAACTCAAATAGAAGTTTGGTACGTTAGAAATTAATAAAACCTTATATTATATTCTTCTCAAAACTAGTTAATCCGGTAAAAAATTGTATTTTTTTTAAATTTATTAATATATTTATTTATTTCCAAATTAAAAAAAATAACAAGTACAGATGTTAACTGTATATATAAAATAAAATAAATAATACAAATATTTTCATCTTCCTTATAAGCATAACTTGTGTTGGAAAGTTTATTTGAATTCAGTTAATGACATGCTAAATATTTATAGTACCATAGAAATTAAATATTACATTAGTGATTTATCATAAACTGATTAGTGTAAGATCAACATTATTTAAGTAAAATTTCAAATCATTTGCATTATTAAAATTATACATACTAATTCTAAGTAGTCTACACAATTTTTTTTTTCGATTGAAATAGAACTTTTCATGCCAACATTTTTGCGGTATAGAAGCACCTACATTTAAATTAATATTTGTTTTGTAACGTGTATTATATTATGTATGATTAACATAAACAGTGTTATTTTTAAATTTATGAAAAGATAATAATAGGTTCTTATAATACAAACATTTAATATTATTATTTAAAGTAAATTTCAAGGAATGAATACGAGACTCATATGCTTGTCCCCAAAAGATAATACCTTACCATAATATTGATTGAACTAAAGCTAAATAAATTATACGTTTCATATCAATATCAAATATATGTCATAAAAAAAATTATATATTATTAATAGTTGTATTATATTATTAATATTTATACCGACATTTTGTAAACGTTGGATTTTGATTTT